CAGGCATGGGGTGGTTCTGATCCCCGGAGCTTCATCCGGTTGTCCAGGATTTTTAAGGATCTCATTCGGGGGCCTAAAAGAGGACGACTGTAAAGCTGCAGCGGAGAGACTGAAGAGAGGGTTGGAAGAATTGGTAACTGATGGAATGGTTTAGTGTCTGTATTCCCTTCATGATTGATTCAGAACTGGGGAAATCAAATTTGCCAGTTGATTGAATAAGTTCCCAGCTGGTTCATTTTAGTAATTTTGAAGGATTATTATCTGCCCAGATAAGTTCCATGAGATTGGAACAGTAGCTTCTAACAAATGTATGTACAAGTTACAAAGTGCATTGATAGATGTTAATTACATATAAATCCCATTGTTATAGGCAATGATCTTTTCAAGTTATGAGTTTGTTCGAGTTATGATTTTCTCGTCTCGCTATTTGGGTCAGAATTTTTGTCTTAGATCTGGATCTACGGTGCACGAGATTGGATTAGAACTATGAGGACAACATTCTCTAGTTTGGATGGTGAATTTAATTATGTAAAATTTGACTAGATTCCCTTCAAAAAAAAAATGAAAATTTAACTCTATACTTACAAAGGTTTATGTGATTTACTCTTTATTTTCACTGGGTAGATTTGATTTTGATAGATAAAAATACTAAATGGTCTTGAAAATCCTATGAATGAAGTTCAATTTATGAAAATGGGACTGGAAATATTTTTACTTTTGAAGAATTAAGGAAAAGATTGAATAGATAATTCTTTTTTGTCTTTATATATCTTGAATGAAAGATGTTCTATTTTTACAGCAGAAAAGTCTTTGTTTTATACCTGTCCATTCTCATCTTATCTGTGCGCACTAGAAGGCAGAGGAGCTCAAAGACATTTTTAGTGATGTGATCTTTTCTTTTCCTTTTCAGAGAAAGTGCATTGACCTTTCAAGTTTCATTCTCACAAGTTTAAAATTTTGAAAATTGTTTCCGTATAAAATGTAACTCTGATCCGTTTGAATTTTAAAATAAGTTGTATGAAATGGAAATATGTAGATACATATATATATATATAAGTTTAGAAGATAAAAGGAATTAAATCTAGTTTTATAAATAAAATTCTGAAAATTTTTATTTGAAGTTGAAAACCTGATATTCGAAGGTTTTTTATTCATTAAATTTATTGTCTTAGCTAGTGATAGCAAGAAGGGCATTTGGTCTAGTGGTATGATTCTCGCTTTGGGTGCGAGAGGTCCCGAGTTCGATTCTCGGAATGCCCCTTTTTTGACCTATTTACAAAGCCCATTAGGTTCGTTTTATATGTATATGTTTTTTTTTTTTTTTTTTTTTTTCTCACAGTGAATAGAATATATATTAAAAATAATATCTTAAAATTTGAAATTTGGGCAAGACGTAGAGAAAAATGGTTCTAATAACTAGTATGAATAAT